ACGATAGTCAGGTCCATTTCACAAAAGCTAAAGCAAAATAGAAGGACATGTGTGATCCACCAGCAAAGAGGGTTCAGGACTAGCTCACTTGGCCGCTTTCCTTCAGGGGAGGCAATTGCAATTGAGCTCCAGCATTCTTTTGTCTTTCATGATCGCTTTGGCTAGTTTCGGCCACACATTGGCAACATTGTAATTTAATTCATGTGTTCATGTATATAATTTAGTCTGTTCACGTTGTTTTAAGTTCAGATAGTTTCGGCAACGCGTGAACGACAGTTTAAGTACATTTCACAACAGCTAAAGCAAAATAGAAGAAAGTGACTAGCCGACCAGGGTAGCAGCGGGTAGCAAAGAGGGTTCAGGAGTAAGTGACTTGGCAGCCTTAGCTTCAGGGGACGCAAACGATAAACGCAATCACGCATGAAAAAGCACCGGTGGGCGTGTAAAAAAAATGATGATGCAAACGAAAACACACATTTACATGAAAAAAAGACACAAATGGGCATGAAAAAAAAATGATGATGAAAACGAAAACGAAATGAAAAAATAAATGTTTTGTCCACCCCCAGTCTGTGGCTGTAAGATTCTCATAACTCTGTTGGTATGACCGAGCATGGCTAGTGATGACACACGGCGAACAACGATGTCTACGGATGTCTACGGAGCTTCGCTGCCCCCATGGCATGGGCCGAACAACGGGCTGTGCCGGGCCGAAAAACGGCAGTGCCGAAAACGGCGGTGCTCCGGAAGACGGTGCACAGCAACGAGCACACCGAAGCAAACCTGGTCTACGCCAACACCAGGTCCGACCGGAAAATGAGGGAAGCTGATCCATCTGATTCTGATGATCTTTGTCCCTGCAGGTCAGAGTCCTTGTTATTTTACTGGAGTTGGTCATGATAATGTTATACCGAAAGACTACTCAGAGGAGGTAAAGGACTAGGTTTTACTGGGGTCTTTGGACTCGTAGTTTATTTTTCGGTGCCACATGTTCACAAGCCATCTACACTCCCTGGAATCATCATATTATGTCGGACGGTGTCGGGCGTCGCCGCATCAGGGGGCCCGGCAACAGTTTTCAGAGTGGCAGCTTATGTACAACTAGCTGGATTTGAGGCTTCCACATGGCATGCCCCCCAGTAAAGCACCTTTCAACCTTCACACGCTTCACTCTTTGTTATGGATGGTCTGGAGTCTTCAATCATGCTGCCAGTGGTCGAGAGGTGCTTTGGAGGTGCATCCTCAACGCCTGAAAAGGAGTAGTCCAGATCGGTTCAAGTGGATCCTCACAATATCCTCACATGTCGCGCAAGGCGCTATTGGTAGGAGAGTGGGCTTCTTGAGCACATATATATCACTGAATTCCTGCAATGTAATTATATGTGCATTGTATTATATAGACTAAAGCTATCAAGATCTGAAGGGCATGACCTTTTGGATCCACTGGCGATCGAAGAGTGAAATGAATCAATTCATCATGCGAAACGTCGAATCCCTTCAGGCCAATGACAGCTCCAGCCCGCGTGGGGACACCCTGGCATGGAGGTCCAACTCATCGCCTGCCGCGACTGCGAGGCGAGCGCTTGGATCAGTGCGACGAGTGCTACGAAGGATGAGAGGAACGACGCTTGATAGATGCAGTTGCACGTCGATTTGGTCTTGTGAAATGCCCTGGGAGTCAAAGACTATAAAAAGAATGGTCTTTAGTAAGGGGAACTGAAAGGGAGCTTCCTTAACTTCAGCCGGTCAAAATATAGTCGAACTGGACTTCTAGGGAAATGGAATGGTCGAACCTACAATCTTCAAATTCTTTTCCTGATTCCTTCAGTGGCTTTTTGGTGTTGCGGATGTTTTTAGGGGCGCCAAGCTGGCTGCATGGTTGCCTTCAAATTCCAGCGATCCGCATCCGATCCTCATATATCCTTGCTTTCAACCCCCTGGGAGTCAAAGACTATAAAAAGAATAGTCTTTAGGTGACACGAAGAGGAATGTCCTTTACTTCAGTCAGTCAAGTATAGTCTTTGGACTTCTAGGGAACCCCTTTCAAGCTCAAACATCTTCATTTCTCGATCCTGGCGGGGGTTTGCAGGGAGGGCATCTTGCAATCTCTTCTTTCGTGCCGGAATCCTTTAGAAGTGAACCAATCTGATAGCGAATCCCACCCAGACGCGACCTGTCTGGGACTGCCATATATGCCTACATTGAGCCCAGTCAACCACCCCTGGCCTGATCGGCACATATGGCAGTCCCATGGAGTGTTTGGGCCAGGCACTCCATACAAGCGAGGGGGGGTCCACCTGATATCTTGACAGGGCTCGGGCTGAGCCGACATCTTGACGGTCTTTTCTTGTAACAGTCTGCCGGCAAAGCTACTCAACGATTCCAAAATCCTCTCATCAGATGTTCGCAACTGCCACTTGCAGGCCAAAGGGCGCTCAGGATGCCCTCGTGCTGTGCAGCTAGCTCGTGCAAATAGTTGGTGCAAATAGCTGACGATGGGCGAACCAATTTGCTAGGTGGGCTTGAGGCCCCATGGATCCACTGCCACCTGCTGAGGTACGGTGATTGAAGGCTCTTCGGCTAAAACAAGGCCCAGCCGTGCCTGGGAAGGTGGCTCCGAGGATCCCTGTTCTTGGGGCTTACCCAAACGCTCCCTGGGACTGCCATATACATGTCATGTCTATTGGGCTGGTGCCAGGGGTCCACAGTCCGGATCGTTTGGACCTTCCCATCCGATCCCGGACGGATCCTGGACGACGGTCGCGGCCTTCGCGCAGCAACTCCAGCGCTTCGTCTCCCAGCTCGTCCGCCAGCAGCGCAGTGAAGTCCTCACCGGCGCCGGGAGCACCGCGACCGAGCCATCCGTGAGACCCAGGAGGTTTGGCCAAACACATGCGGCCGCCGAGTTGCAAGAGGCCGCATGAGGTGGTCATGGTTTAAAAGCAAGAAACACCGAAACTGCCACCCTTGTGATGCAACTGTATCTCCCTTTAGATTGGAAAAAGGGCCATTGGACCCTCCAAAGCAGCCACAAATGGCGCAAAGCAATGCAATTGGCTGGCCAAAATCATTGGTTCAAAAATGTATTAAGGTTATATGATATATTGGGTGTCAAAACTGTCCTGATCTGAAAAAATGCCAGGCCCTCTAGGCTTCTGTTTCCTGAAGCACCTCCAGGTGGGCGCAGCCAGTCTTGGATGGCGTCCGCCAAGCCTTTCTCCCCCAAAAACGGTGCAGAAAAAAGATCCCAGCGCATCTTCTCGGCGCAAGGGGGTCCTTCTCGGAGATGCCCCGGGGCATCAAAGGCATCGAGACTTTCAACTGCAACTTCTCGGGCACGAGCTCCACGATCGCCACCTAGAAGGGTGAAGGCCATCGCTCTTAGGGTGGAAGCCACCCCTTAGGCCTTTAAGGGTGAAGGCCACATCCTCCTTCTCACACGAGGCGGACGACAGAGGCGGTCCGAGGCAGGAGTAGACGATTCATCAAACCCTGAGGTTTGAGCATCCAAAATGGGGAGGATTGTCACATCAAGAAGCACAGGAATAGCACAGGACCATGCAGAGAAACACTAGTCGAACATCTATACCAGCTGCTTCCAACGGGTCATCTGGCTGGACTACCCCACACTACTTAGACTAAGACTAAGAGGTGTCCAGCCAGCTCACCCAGACAGGATGGTCCAGGAAAAATGAAGTCCGGTCTGCCCTAGTCACGCGTCAGATATAACAACCCCCACCCACCCGCAATCCGCGCACGTCCCACCTGCCGTCCACCCCCACACACGTAGCCACCAATTGTTCCTGAAGATTCCCAAACACTCCATGTATGGCATATTGACATAAATTAGGGTGGTTGACCCGAGGTCGGCATATATATATATACACCTTACATGGAGTGTCTGGCTCCACGCAACCCTCCACGCGCGCCTCGATCCCTCCGCGCCTCGATCTCCTGAGCCAGCTCCAAGGCCTTGGGCCCTTTGATCTCGCTCTCTGGTAGCCAACCCATGACCGTGCCGATCTGAGGATGCCGCACTTCCACCTCACAACCCTTCTCCTGAAGAAGGGGGATGCTAGAAGGATGGACCAATGGAGAAGGTATACATACCAGGAGCATCCAATGGGTGTCCAATGGACTACTACTTAGAGGTGTTCATTGGACATGCATTGGATGGTCCGGGTAGTCTCTTTTTCTTGGGTCAATCAATATCGAAGCGGCTGAGCCCAAAAAAAACGGGATCATGACTTTCCAGTGACTTCCTCTGCTTGCCATGGCAATTATGATATCTCACTTTAGGACTGGGGGGAGAGACGGCAGGTAGACTAAGCAAAAAGAAGGAAGGTGAAGGTGAAAAGAAGCAAACGCGTGAGAAGGAATAGGTGGCCATCGCTATTAGGTTGGAGGTCATCGCAAGTAGGTTGGAGGCTCTTGAGGTGGAGGTAATTATTAGATTAAAGGTTACAAGCCATCACTACTAGGGTGGAGGCCATCGCTCTTAGGGTGGAGGCCATCGCTACTAGGGTGGAGGCCATGACTACCAGGGTGGAGGCCATCGCTACTAGGAACAAGTATGGACATCACTCCTTTGGTCATTTGTGGTACCGCTTTGTCTTTCTGATCCGATCGATCCGATGATGGAATCCACTCCTTGCTTCACCTCATAGTGCTATACCATTCATGAACCCGGCAACGGGTGAGGGATGTCGAAGCGTCGGGTGAGGGCTCCTCCACGGCAATGACCCGAGCGTCGAAGAACTTCTCGGGCAGCCGAGAAAGCAAGGCCAGGCGCGCCCAGGGGCTCGCGGTCGCTTCAGAGCGCATGGAGAGCGTCATCCTGACCGCGGACGAGGTGGCGGGGAGAGCGAATCAGGTCCAGTCGTCCCATCCCCAGGGATCCAGTCGCACCTTCTCAGGTACGGTCATTGGAGACACAGAGCTTTGGAGGGTCAATCGCTTGGACCGCCTGGCCTGCGGACGAAACGACACGACCGGAGTGGATGTCAGGTACTACGCAGAGCTGCGTAGTATTGCTTGTTTGGTTGAGGGTATCCCCCTAACAGTCAACCAACCACTAAGAAATCTATAAGAACATCTAATAACAGGATGTATAAAAGGCCATTCACCAGTAACAATGGATGATGATGGTTAGTAAAGGCCCTTCCGAAACATAGTGATCCTCTTTTACAGACTGTTACTGCTTATAATGGGACACACTGTCACACCCTACACCTTATCAAATATCGAATCTCATGATCTACGCCGATCTATGCCACAGATTCGACACCTTCCACCTGCCCTTTGGCCAAAAGCTGGATCTTTGGGGGCTTCGTCCTCGTCCGGCTTTCCGCTTCCCAACCGATTTCGGGCCGATGTCGGGCCGATGTCCGCTGCCGTCTCCGGTCCCGGTCGTCCTCTGCTTCTGCAGGTCCACGTCCAGAATGCGGACTTTCAGCTCTTGGCCCAGTTCCAATCCTCCGTTCCACGACGTCCGACTCCGTCCGCTCCGCTCCGCGACCGCACGAGCTCCGGGACCCGTTCCGTTCGGGTCTCGGTCGGCCTGGCGCGAGGTGCGACACCGTACGGCGAATCACCCGGAAAGAATTGATGCTAAGAAGGTTGGAAATTGGATTTTGTACGGCTTCCCAACCTTCAACGATTTTTTTGATGCCAGTCCCAAACGACGAACGAAAAAATGCACCATACAATCCCCAGACACGACTGGCATGGGACTGGCATAATATTCCGATCAGTTGGTCAATGTAGGCATATATGGTATACATGGAGTCAGTGTCTGGGATAAAAATGGGCTGGAGGCAAGACCCGGGGTTTTCTGATAAAGGTCAACGGCCTTGGGTGGCTCTTGTTCAAGTGGGCCTTGAACATGGAACTCGACCGCTGCGCTCAACAATCCAGTTGCCTGACCTTTTTGGAGTCCGTGTTTTTGACCTTCTCCAGGCCTGTTGGTGACCGAACCAACCAGGAAATCGAGTTCAGTTCGATTTCCTTGAAGAAGCAGGAACAGCACCAACAACCCCCAAAAACATCCTTTCGCCCCATGCTCCTCTTCCAAACCGAGCTGCTGCCAACCATCTGACTGCTCTTCACCATGCCCTCCGCCCAGCCCAATTGGCCGTCAGCTTCGACCGCCACGAAAGCGCCGAAGGGGCTCAGTCGTAGCACCACTGCGCGGTGCCAACGTTGCTCAGTGAAGTCCTACGTTGCGACATGGGCGGAGAGAGTCTGCGGGCTGCAGTCGGTGGGTCCGGCCAGTTCGGTGTCTCTGGCAACAGGGAACCGTGGATTTTAAACCACTTTCAGGTCCTGTAGTAGATGTCCTGTACCAGCACCCGGAACCAACAGGTCTCTGACTGGAGGCTTTTGTAGACTTAAAGGTCGCAGGTGGTGACCTGTTGGAGGTCCTGGTATAGTAGATACACTAGATGTGTTTCTTTTTCTCGGGTGTCAGTGATTCTCTCTTGCACAGGCAGCTGCAAAAAGGGGGTCAAACACGTGGACTTGATGTCGGCTCGTCGAGGCAACTGCCCGGTGTGGTGGGTGTGACCCGGACCGTGCCCTCGTCCACGCGTGGCACCTGGGTCAGCCGGTCTGTACCGCATTCTGCACTGCACAAAAGCAAACGCATATAGCTATACGATGCTATACGCAGTCATAGTTTCACCGGAGGGCTGGGGTTGCTCATACTCCTCTCAAATTTACGGTCGAAAATCCGGTGTTGGCTTCGTGACTTCCTGCTGCTCTTGGAAATTCACTGCACCAAAGGGTTGGCATTCTCCGCGACTGAAGAACAAAAGGTTATTGGATGGAACCTGCCTCTTCAGGGGGTCTATAAACCATATTAAACCATCCTTTGGGTGGTGCTGCTTGGGACTTCTTCCGTCCCAACTGCTCCAAGAACTTGAGGAACTTCCGCACTGTGCCCGAAGACTTCCCGCCTATTTCTTGGTAGTAGAGCCAGTGAACCATTTCCTTCTGGTCCATGTAGAGCTTTACTCTTAATTTCTGTCGCGGTTGTTTGTCAAACTTACTGCTTATCTAATTACGACGCGAGCCATAAAACAAGAAGTCAAACACGGCAAGTCTGACATGCACATCACAGATTTCACGTTTAGCAGTTTCATGCACACACTCCAGTATCTCTTTTTCTGAGTGCGCAGGGAAGTCGATGCAGTGGTCCCGTCTTCACCCTCCCATCCTCATGACCAAGTCTTTCTTTAAAGGACTTTCCCACCCTCCCTCCACTGGGCCAAACGACCATCGTCGTCTCATTGGTTTGTTTGTTGACTGGATGTTGCTCAGAGCTATCCTGTGAGGATGTGTCACGAAGTCTGTTCACCTAACTTTTGATCACCAAATATCACCCAAAGTACCAGGACCCTCCAAGGGGTGTCTAATGGACTACCCCACACTACCTATAGGCTTCCATTGGGCACCCCTTAGAGGGGTCCTGGTATTCTACTGTGACGAAATAAGGCTACCATCTTGGCATACTAAGAATGTCCACTCAGTTCGCTCACCTACGCAGCTGGCGCGTAGCGCGCCGTGTCCAGCTGCACGCCAACACCCGCCCGCCCTGTTCGCTGGAGCTGTCCTTGAGCTTGGCAGTGGGGCCCAAGGATTTCAAGCTAAACACCTGCCGTGGGGCCCGAGATGGAAGGAGGAGCTGCAGGTGGAGGAGCAGTCGGACCTTCCCTGGAAAGCATCGGAAAGAAGCATGAAACGAGGCCATGACGCTCCGTCACAAACCAGTGAAGGTCGTAGACATCAGAACGGCCAAAAGCGGGACCTTCCGTGATTTGCTTTACGCAACCCAGGGATTTGCGTTACGAAACGCACACGATAGATCCAACCCTTACTATATAAACAATGCATTGCTACGCATTGTAATGCAACGTTTTTGGTGCTCACAGGGTGCCTGAGGCTTCGGATAAATTGCCGAAAATGACACAATTAAAATCGTTTAAACATGCTCAAAGCTCAAGCCCCTTGAAGGTTCTCAAAGTGTAGATCCTGGAAAATACATACCCCACCAAGAACGAACAGAAAAGCCGCTCCTGGAGGTACATCATGATTCTGATACTATCAAAATAAATTAGTATTAAAGTATTTTAAAGTATTAATTAGTCCCTAGAAGTCGAACCACCATTGTTTTAATAGCCTTTTCCGAACAGCCATGGTTTCTCTAAGGCCTCTAAGGGTTCTACACTACACCAGATCAACCATGATAAAAATGGTCGACTGGACTTCCAGGGCAGTACTCACAATCAATTGCCCTAAGGGTCCAGGACCATCCTGAGGATGTCCTTTGACCCCCCAAGACCATTCTCTGGAAGTACTTTCACCTCCAAGACCATCCTGAGGAGGTACCTGGACCCTATGGGTTGAGATTCAGAAACCATCAGAAACCAACTTTCCGATCGATGGCTGAAGCACGATGGCTCACGGAGCCATCGACTCTCCCTTGGCTCAGCTTCAGATCCCCGAGCCCATGCGCACCAAGATCCAACCTCTCTCTGGCGCCGTCGGCGCCGTCTCCGGTCGCCTTATTGGGATCCATGACCAGGTAGAGGCTCCGCGCCCGCGCCGTGCGAACTTCGCGCACCCACACGCGTACCCGATCGCCCACATGGACCTCGGTCGCCAGAAGGCGACGTTCGCATGCTGATGAGGTCCGAGGTTTTTGGATCCGGGACGCCCGGTGATACAAATGCGGGACTGCCATAGGACTGCCTTCAGAAATAGGTGGTGCCAGGGGGCGTCTTTCTGGGGCGGCATATTATTCCATGACATGTGAAATACATATTCCATACGTGGAGTATCATGGAGTGCATGGGAGGTGACGCAGTCAATTTCAGGAACCCCACGGGAGTTTCTGGGATGTGTTGGGCGGTTCATGGGCAAAACCCCAAGTCAATCGTCTCTCGGCGATTCAAAACCGGCCCTGGTGCAGGTCCCAACGCAACACGTGGATCTTGTGATGGATCTTCAATGCGCGAGCATGAGGGCTCAGACGAGTTCATCGCTATGGATCTGCTCAACTCGATGGCGCTGCAGAGGTCGTCTCGATGTCGCTTTCCACGAGTACAATTGTGCTGGCACATGCTGGCAAATGATATGGCCAATGCATGTTAATATGTACTCACAACTAACATCAACTAACTAATCAGGTGCAGGCACCGGGTTGTATCCGGTTGTACAAGTTTCCCAAACGCAATGGCCACTCCAAAGACGGCCCCATCCCCACTCCAAACCGCGGGGCAGGTCGTTCTGTCATGTGCTTGGGCAGGAGGGTCCCGAACTGTTGCAAGCCCACATCGACCACCGTCAGGTTGGCCGAGGTCCGTACCACGACGCCTGTCGGAACTTGCGGACGAGGATGTGGAAGAGCTGATCGGAGCCCTCCGATCTGAGAACTAAGTGAATGAGTTCGCTTTCTTCTGGAGCATTTGGTGTTTTAAAAAAGCATATATGGTTCCATTAGATGAACTCTTGAGTCACTTGAGATGAATAAACCCTCATAACACCTCCCCACCCAACAACCTGCCCAACTCGACCTACCAGACCGGCTCTATCAACGTCTCAGTCCAGTCGACTCGACTCAACGAGGAGTCGACGATCTAATACGTATGACCTGACTCCGGAGTCATGACACATCGATCATTTCGGGTTTCGGCGCCGTCCACCCCGTCCTTTGACTTGCGCCGTCCCCTTGCAACTCCTAGCTGAGGCTAGCTTTCATGATGATCATATGCATCATGCAGGCTCGTGGAAACTCCAAAGGCCTCGCCCCTCTCATGCCTGCTTTTCCTTGATCGCACCGCGACGACCGACCGTGAGCGACGCCGCCTTCCAACTCTTGGCCCTTCGTCAGCTGCTCCAGGCGCTCGGGGCGTGGGAGCGAGGCCTCGCTGAACCGGTCAGGACGGGAGACTCGGGAGACTCGGGGACCGGACCTCGGCGCGGCCGGATTTACGTCGCCAAGCCAGGAACATGCGGAGTGGCGTGGTGCGCCACAACGGGGTGGTGGGCAATGGTTGGAGTCTAGTGGGGCCACAAGGGCCGGACCTCCTTTTTGGAGAGTGGGGGGCCACGTCTCGGAACCAATTCATAATGACCACTCCCAGACGTACATGACCTGGACCTGGGACTGCCATGACGGACTGCGGATCAAGCCAGACCCCCAAAACAACCACCCCCCAACTGATCGGCAGTCCTATGGCAGTCCCATGGAGTGTCTGGGAATGAGAAACAAATCTGGGACGTTTTTGGTTGAAAACTATTCAACTATATATGATCCCCTTTGAAATTCATATGGTGCTCGGGAGTACCCAGGTAGCACTAATCTGTAGGGGAATTTTAAAGGGGATTATATATATAGTCATAAACATCCCGGAAATGGTTTAGAACCGGATGACATGCTTTCGAGCCGCTACCTGCTGGACGGCCCAGAGCTGCGAGCAATAGAAAAAAAAAGGTGCACAAGGTGAGCTGGAATCAGAAACTGTGAACATGGACCTGGTTTTGCTTAAGATGATTGTCTTATTTTCCCTATGGTCATATAAATCTCCAAACCTGAGCATATTGCTTATTTTCGAGGGCCCTTAAAGCAATTCCACCACCTGTTTTACGAAAAGGCCAACTTTTGAACTACAAGTATGTTCACTGCGCTTCCCTGCGCAGTTTTTTCGCGCACATATCACAACATCAAATGGTGAATCTGAGAGAAGGTCATTGACATCAGCTTTGACCTCAAAAGGACATTGCTTCCGCCAAGCTTCGCAAAGAGGTTAGCTA